ATTTTCAAAAGTAGGTACCACTATAATCAATAACGGTTTTTTATTAAATGAAAATAATTTCAAGTAAATTTATGAAAGACATAATTTTGTAGGTACGTACCAAAAATATACTAACTATGGGTAGTTGCACCAAGGGTATTTGACGGAAGTTTAAGACTAAACGTAGATTAAAATAGAAATTTTTGTTGCACTAATTCTTAAACTTGAGTCAATTATTTTTAATCTCAGATTAACTTAAACCACCAGCTTTGGAGGTTTTAGTGGAAGTTTAGTTAACCAAATAATTAAAACAGAATAAATGTCCATACCATAAAAAACTTAACAAAAGGTCCAGTTCGTAGGATTTGATATTTTGAGTGCTAGATTCTGAAGTGTGTGGATTAAAATGGATTTTATTGATTTAAATGTAGAATATGAAGACATATTTGACGATGATTTAGAAATAATAGAAAGAGACATGGGTCGAATAAATAATCATGGAGCATTACTAAACATACAAGCAGATGCACAAAGAGTTCAGAATGACATTGTAACTAATTATTTGGGTAATATTTAAGGATCAAATAATAGCTGCTTCCCTTTTGCAAGCAACTGAGTATGAATTACATGTAATGTGTTATGTGAGTTTTATAAAGTTCTCTTCTTTCGAATGCAACTGACTTTCTTAACAGTTCCTTCCTGTTATCATAACACCTTTTCAGACATTCCACATCTCTGGGACAAGATGGTCCAGAACTATTATATCGTTGAGTAATATTTTTCCATGCTTCAGTCTTCTCTCTGGAAGTTACCGCAACTGTTTTTTTATTTTCGACGATATGTTTAAACTTAGAAACAACATTTATCAATAAAACTTTGTCGTTATTCGTAAAATTTGCAGACCTTTTATTCTTATTAGCAGATTCAGCATAATCCATCTCGAAAAGCAGACGACACAGAACATCCCTAGTTAGCACACAAGAAATATTTTTTAATAGATGTGATTACAAAATATGAGGTGATTTTTGACATTTTTGATAGCATTTTAATGACTTGAAATTAGTCGCAGAAGAAAAATCCCTCAAATGTTCCGCTTAAGTAATCCACTTCTACTTCCATTCGATGCAATGTAAAACAATTTAATTGAGGTTGGCAAAATATGGGAACAAGTTTTTCAAATATTACAATGCAGTGTTGTTGCGTCAGCGACCGAACCTGTTAAATACTGCCAACCTCTTGGTTCTTCAATTGAGATCGGAAAGACTATACCTACCAATACTAGGAGCTGTAACTTTGCAAACTGTATAAATGAGTAGGTAAATAATTTGTTGCATTTGGAATATATTATTCCTTCTTTTATAGGTATATGTCAGGCAGAAATACCGGCAGAAGTGCCGGATCTAGACGATTTCGAAGCTATTAAAGAAAGATGTGAGAAAAAAGGAGGCGCTGGAACATATGAAAAATTAAAGGTATGCTGCAGAGCCACCTCAGTGACAAGTGAAACATTTACTTATAAAATTAAATATTCTTTTAATTATCATTATTATTTTTCTTTTTCCCAGACTGCAGGAGAACAGGCGCAGTCATGCATAAAGGACATTATCGATGTAGATAAAATAAAAACAGAGGTGGAAGAAGCCAAGAAGACAGGATCGATGGATGAGGTGTTCGGAAAATATTGCGGCAAAAGACCCCAAATAAGAGAATGCGTCAAAAAGGTATACGACGCCGTACAGCCATGTTTAGAAGAAAACGAAAAGAACGCTTTGAATGTCACAGGAAACATAGTGAGGCAGATCTCAGATTTTGCTTGCTACAGAGATGGTGATAGAATTGCTAGTAAGTACCTACAGGAGAAAATAAATCTGAACTGATCTGGTTTGCTCTGTTTTGATCTAAGTGTCACCATACTTTTATATGCACCATCTGGATAGATGTAAACACATATTTTTTTATTTGCAGTGTTTGTGGCAGAAAAAGGTGTAGAATGCCTCAACTCCCGCGTGGAAAGCATAAAAAGTTGTGTTAACCAGACTCTGAAATTTAACCCAGCCACATTTTCACCAAATTCGATACCTAACCTTACGATCGACAAAAAGAAATGCGAGTGAGTACCAGTTCCTTATTTAAAAAAAAATGGCATATAAAACGTTTTATACGAATACACTTTTTATGTTGGTGGTTTTCCATCCCATATTTGCTCTGTTTTTCTTTACTATATAAAAAACAGTATAAGAATAAAAGTTGTATTGTAGTATAACCTCGGGTTCGATCGAAAAAAAAATAAACGTAGTGGTGCCCAAGAAATATGTGATCGTCATGAGGAATACCTACGTTGTATACATCCATGTTTAATTGACCAGAAGGTGCTGGCTACTAACTTTAAAGAGGGGAAGTATGGGTTAATTTTATAAAACAAAAGCAGAGTAAATACACCTAACTTTATTATTTACATACAACAGTCTTCAAATTAAACGTGTAACAAATAGAAAGAACAACAAAAACATTAATAACCATTTAACATAAAATGAGAGTGCCAGGCTCACCTAGAGCTCCTGTGGGGAAAGAGCATGGCAGAGAAACCCACGATCGTTGCTCTAACTACCCAAATATAAATACAAAACAACCGCTAACAAAAGGCATAATTAAGATCCTTTGCTAATGATAAATAA